GTCGCTGTTGAGTGTGGTACTCGTGGCAGCAACGGCTACTTCGTTTTAATGAGACATGTGGTGAACTGGCAGCGACCGGACACGTCCGGTGCACACGACCGGTGCGTCTGGTCATCCCGCAGTCAGCCCAATAATTGAGCCAACGGCTCTATTTGTGGGGGCTCTTTATTTAAGCCCCATGACCAGTTCAATCTCACTCTCTTGGATATTTGCATTAACATAGCAACCTTGTGTGCTTAGCCAAAGCCCTCCCACTCATCTCCATCATTGATTCGTCATCTTTGTGAGATTGGAAGAGAATCCAAGTGCATTGCTTGAGTGTTTGCATCTAGAGACACTTGGTGTTCGTGTTTCGCTGCGGGATTCGTTTGTTACTCTTGGTGATTGCTGCCATCTAGACGACTTGGAGCAGCGAGAATCGTCGAGCGAAGGTTGGTGATTGTCTTCGGCTCCGATCGTGGTGATTGTGAGGGGTTCTTGACCTTTCCCCGACGTAGAGCCAAAAGGTACTCTAGTAAATTACTCGTGGCTTGTGTGATCCTCATCTTATGTTGGTTGTGCGGCACCCTATTGAGGGTTTGACGGGTGATGCCAATCAGCTCGTGAACCTCCAAGTGAGTGAATCACCACAACGAGGGACTAGCTTGCTGGCAAGCAAGTGAACCTCGGTAAAAAATTATTGTGTCATCATTTGATTTCGAGCTGATTGGTCTTCATTGGTATTTATTCTTGTGATTGATTGGTTCATTCATCGACTCAGTGATATAACCATCTTACTCACTTTCTCTTTACATTACCGTAAACTAGTTCAAGCTCTTTAGTGTAGCTAGTCGTGAGAGCTTGTAGTTTGGTTAGTGTGGCTCTTTAGTTAGCCTTTGAGAGCACACTAACTTAGTGTAGGGACATAGCCATTGTGTGGATAGAGACTATATAAACTAGAATTGTGGTAGGTGGCTTGTATTTTTAGTAGGCTAGCGCAACACTCGCTTCGCCTTATATTTGTCTAACCGGTTTGCTAAGTGTTGTTGTAGAAAATTTTAATAGGTTATTCGCCCCCCCCTCTAGTCATTAGGACCTTTCACCTACGCCCGCGGCAGAGCCCACGCGCGGCGGGTCTCGTGCCTGCGTTCGCCATCGGAGCAGTGCTGCTAGCTGGGGTGGTGCGCAGACATCGCGTCCGCCGACTTCATCTGCTGTTGCTTGCGTCTGGGAGGGAGGAGGAGGCGGAGCTAAGAGGCGCGTAGGCCGGGATGCATCTTTACCAAACGATGAGGATAAGACGGACGAAGAAGAAATAGATGAGGGATAACAAAGTCATTTCGCATCCTATAGACACGCTGGTTTCCCTACGTGTCCTGTTACGTATGCAAAAATAGCTTAAAGTTATGAATTCTTCTCTCTCGATGATAAATATATAGAAGCAATTCTAAAAATACTATCTGGTGACATCCGTTATAAAGGAAAGAAAGTCTCCAGGGGCTTTCGCATGGTGGTTTGCTGGTCGGAGTAGGAGATAGGCGGCGGCGGTGCATGCCGTAAGTTTGTGGACTTATCACCGGAGTTAAATCCAATTGGAAGGATCGGTCAATACTTTCTTACGTTGACTAGGGTAGAAGCCCAATGCTAGACCGGCCCAAACCAACTGTTTTCAGTGCGTTCCTAAAGCACTTGTTTTTTACCTTGACGTGAAGCACAAATAAACCGTGACCTTTTTTGGGTTGTTAAATGATCCAACAAAATTAGTTATTATATTATATAATGTTTGTGTACTACTTATTTCATGTTGAGTTCGCATCAACTAGCCTTACTTTTGCAAGTATTTAACATATTTAACAAGACATTGATGATTATTTCCAAAAGAATTTAGTTATGTGATAAAAGAGAATACGATGAAAACAAACACTAATTATGTTAGATGTCCTCCTTCCTCTAAATTCACAAGTTACAAAGTATAACTATGAATGTATATTGTTTGTTCACACATTTTACTTGACTGTCTACACACGAATACTGTGAACATAGATTGTATATGCAAACAATAAAGAGTAAAGAAAAAAAAGTCTCAGACCATGTTTAATTGTTTATTCCTTGAAAAATAATGTTTAATTGTTTATTAGACTTGAATATGTTAATGTTTTTTCCATTACAACGTATGGACATATTTGCTAGTATCTACAAAAATATATCATCCTGTAAGTTTTGTGTAAACAGACCATGACAACACGTGTTTCTTTCCATTCGGTTTCTATGGAGTACCTGATTGATGAAAAACACTCTGAAGAGCTGAAGGAAATGATAACCTACTGCTTCCTGCAACCTTTTCCTTGCTTCCATCTTCCATTATTTCCATAAGACGAAAGTAGTCCAACTCATCAAGTACATCATCCTCAGCATTATAAGTTGATGACTTCAACTCTTGAGCAAGTTGATAGATGCCCTACCCCATGGCAGGGCTGCCGTTCAGGGTCTCGAGTATTGCCTGGGCCATCTCAAGGTGACCTCGGAGATTCTGAAATTCGCATCCTAAGTTTACACGGATTGCCCACTGCTCTAGCTTGGAGCTTAGGTACTTGTCAAAGATCACTTGAACGAATACACCAATTGTGCTGATTACAGTCCCAGGATCCATGAAAGGCTGCAGTGGAGAGGACAAGAAGAGTGGCTTCTTCTTTGTGTTGAACCATTTGGAGAATGGGTAACATGGGTTGCAATATAATCATTGCCTGCAATTATTTATTTATTTCGAACAATCATTCACTGCAATTACGTCAAGAAAGACAATCCCTATCTGCCAATACAGCTTAACAAGGACCTAATATATTAAAAAAAACTGCTAGACATCTAGATGACCAGGTGCTACTGGGACTTCTGTATTGACATGGTCTTATGCCAGAGGTTAAGTATCAAACAAGGTAGTGCAATATGTTGGTTATACATATATAGAGTACTCCATCCATCTCAAAAAGAATGCAATTGTAGATTTTAAACAAGTCAAACTTTCTTAAGTCTGACCAAATTTATATAAAATAGTATCAATATTTATATTTCTAAATAAATTTATTATAAAATATATTTTATAATTAATGTAATGATATTTATTTAGTATCATAAATAAATATTAGTACTTTCTTGTATAAATTTGATCAAACTAACTTTTACATTTTTTGGACCGAGCGGTTACACCAACTTTTGTTGTATTTCAAAATAAATGATGATATGCTCCATTTGTCTTAATTTTGCTCATTAAACAATGTCAGTAGTTTAATGTCAAGAAATATAGCACTAGTTAAACGGTTGCATCGGATGTATGGGTTACGAAAATAGTTTGCCAGTTGGCATTGGTTGTGACTTTGTGACGCATGCTCTGTTGTGAGAAACCAATTGCAGAAACAAGACTGGGGTTTGCAAATATGGCCTACGGGAAGTGAATTTGCCGACCTAAACAACTTCCCATTACGCATGCAATATGATTTGCACTACTAATCGGGAGATGTGATTTCATTTCACTCCTGGTGCAATTTGTGCGTGTCAACTGCTAGTAGCACGCCGGTTCTTGAATCGCTATGCCTATGCCTATGCGGGCTTCGGCTCCAATATCGAATCGCTTCTTCATTCATGAACCGAATTCTCTTGAAAGCGCGCGCGCAGCCGGAGCATGTGTATATCCACGACGGGAAAAAAGTAAAAACGTGAGAGCGAGGCTACCACACCGGTCACCGGAGATATATGTTTTTTTAAAAATAAACTGAGATATATATTTATATTATGCATCTACGTATCTATCTAGATTTTTTTAGGGGAATCTATCTATCTATAGACTAGATGGACTCGCGCGGTAGGCTCCTCTGGCTCCGATCCGATATCGACGGCACAGTCGCTCGTCGTGCTGCTACTGGTACTGTTTGTCAAGCACTGAAGCACCGTGCCCGGTTCTTCGTCGGCGGTGGGACGAGTGCCAGTGCGAGCGCGAGGCCGGCACACACACGCCCACCCCCACTTGCCCGGCAGCACCGTGCCGGTCGTCGGCGGCAGCACGTACGTCGAGGACGACGTGGAGAGACTTGCACTTGTTCGCTTGATCGTTGTCAGCCATACTTATCAGTTATGATATAGTATTTTTCTCTCACAACAAAACAGCATCAGCCGGCTTATAAACCATAGAAACGATCAGACTGTTGGTGGCTGGTGGGGGCCATGGGGCCCACCTGCCAGCGCGGGCGAGAAGGCCTCCAACTCCAAAGGATACGCCCGCCTAGCTGGATCGCGTTGTTCCCGTTCTGGAGCAATCGACTTTCTCGCGCCATGAGGCCGCCCTCTGAAATTTTCGTGGGGGGACTACTTTTGGCCCAATAGGAGGTGCCTCCACTCGCGACGACCTGTGAGATCGATGGAGAGCGCACAGCGCAGGTGGAGCCGCACACCGACAGTCAGACTCAGAACTCGCCGCCGCCCGCCGGCGATCCAGATCCACCATTCTTACTCTTCTCCAACTCCTGCTCCTCTCTCTCTGGGGCATGCTGTACGTGCAGCGAGCTGTCGTTCACTCCATTACAAGTTAAAGAAGAGGCAGCCAATCTAGCTCGCCCGTAAGCTAAACTTACTCCTCCCTAATGTTTTGGATCGTCAATTCAATTCCTGATGCATGCGCGCACAGAAAAGTGTCGCGGTCGGTCAGTTATCTGAGCACTTGTCTGGAAACACCATTGACCAGCAGGTAGCTGATGCTTAATCATGCAGACACCACAAGAGAAATAAACCAGGTCGTTATTATATGTATATATATTTCATTCATTTACACTTAAGTTTCACCGATCATCACCTAGGAGTAGTAATCAATACAATCCAATTAATCAGCCAGCTGCCCAGCTGATGAAGTATCACCTCCAAATAAAAGAAGCCAACCTACACTGACGACGCACAGTGATCGCCCGGGGCAGTCCGATCGATCCCCAGGCTATGTTCAGTATATATATGTACCCGCGCCCGGTAGTCCGTCGGCCTCAGTCGGCGTCGTGGTCGTGCCAGCACAGGAGCATGGAGACGCACTTGCCGAGGATGTACAGCCTCGTCTTGTGCTGCTTCAGCACGGCGTTGCAGCGGCCAGCTTGGCCGCCCACGGGCTTCTGCCGCCGGCGGCGGCGGCCGTACGCCGAGCACACGGCGGAGCGAGGGATAGAGGCCGAGATCGACTCCTTGGACGACACCCTAGCCATCTGGCTGATGATGAGATGCGCGCGCGCGGTAGAATGGTTTGCCGCGCTTTGCAGCTGCAGAGGTGGTGAATGTGGAAGGAGTGATGTCGTAGATTGGTTGAGCGCCGGACGGAGAGTACGTGGCTGGGATGCCGATGGTTAAATAGCTAGGGCCGGGCTGGCCGGGGTCCGTTCGTGCCCGGTCCCCGGTGGCGCGCATTGGCAGTTCTGCCCTCGAGCACCCTCTCCGTGCAGACCGAGGCAGCAGATCGGTCAAACATGTCCCGAGCCCACACGCCCACTCGACCAGCCACCACACGACACGACGCGTGCAATGCATGGCCGCCCGCCCGGCCCCATCGGCGCTCGCTCGCTCCATCACCATCTCATCTCGCCCACGCGAGACCGCAAGAGAGCGCGCGCGGCGCTCTCTCCAGGTCCAGGCCACCGCCACCGCCACCGCCGCCGCACCCGCATGATGCATACGTGGCGCGCGGTGACGACGCACCAGCTCGGCCGGCCCCGCCGCCGCCGCCGCCGCGCCACGCACACAGCTAGCCTAGCCTAGCCAAACGCACGCGCACGGGCATGCATGCACGCGCTGACGCGCGCGGGGCGGGGCTCGATCCGCCGCCTCGTCGTCGTCTTCCTCCGGCACACCACGTTCTTTTGTCCTTATCGCCTGGCCGCGCCCACACGAGCGTACGATAGCTAGCTAGGGCCTAGGGCCCGGGGCCGCCGCGTGCCCGCGCGTCCTGCCAATCTTCCTGCCTGCCCTGTGCCGCCTTCGCTCGACAGCGCCAGGCTACAGGAACCGGGTTGGAGGGCCGGCAGAATGAGAGGGATGGTTCTGTGTCCGTGTACATCTACCTACAGAAGTCGCGTGATTTGGCATGATTATTGGCCCGTCGGTCATGATCATGAGCTAGATAGGCCCAGCGGCACGTGAAATCGGGCCCGTCGCACGCGCACGGACAGATGGAAATAGTTCTCTCCAATTCTTGACCAGATTCAGCTATCCTCGGTGCCTCAGTATCCACCACCAGGCACCAGCAGCCAGCTGAACTGTGGTTTTCTTTTCAAAGATCCACCAGCTGATTTGTGAAAACTGAAAAGAAAATCTAGTGTCTGATTTGCTTGTTCTTGTCCCAGCGCATTTAGACAAAGTAACCAACGCACTGTTATGCAGTCAGTCAGTCACACAATCCTGAGCTCAGTCGTCGTTAATACTAGTGCAGAGCCAGTAATTTCAGGCTAGCGTGGGCTGTGTACGTCACTCTATTCTGTTACTGCCTCCTTTAAAAAAAATCTAGGTCTTGTCAAAGTCAAACTAAAGTTAGGTAAAAAAAATTATAAGTAGATATGACTTCAAATAGATATATTATAAAAAAATGTTATGATCAATTTAATGATACTTATTTAGTATAATAAATATTATTTTTTTATATAAATCTGATCAAACTTTAAATCATTTGACTTAACGCTATTCTAAAATTGTATGTTTTTTTGGATGAAAGAGGTATATTAGAGATTATTTTTTTGTCTTCAAAAAAATCTTAGAGATCGATTCCAGGCTGCCGAAACAGGAAAGAGGCGAGGAGCAACAGTACAGTGGTCAGCTTAGCATAGCTGTACCTGTACTGTGTGCCTCCTGCACAGTATCATCATCAGAGCAAACCAAGAAAAGGAACAATAATTGGAGACGTTCTTCTTCTCTCTAGGGGGAATTTGGGGATGCAAGGACAGCAACAGTTGACAGCGCAGCTTTCATGATGCAATGAAAAGAATGGATAAGCTTCTGCAGCTTAATCATGTGTGGGAGCATCAGGTTGTTGGATCTGCATTTGTGCTAGTATGATTCACTCTAAATAAACGTGAGGAATTAGGAAATGTGGGTTCATATTTCACGGATTGATGTGCTCTCTTTTTCATCATGGATAGATCTGTCCGTGCACTTACAGTAACCCAGTCATTATTGCCTCGCTGTTACAGAGACCTGCATGCATACATCTTTGGAATAGAAGGAAACTGTACCTTGCAGACACGTAGTACCAATTATCTAGCATATATACATGAATCTATGCAATGTACAAGATTAACCATTAGAGCATCTCCAAGAGTTTTTTATTTTTTTCTCCTAAAAACATGTAGTTTTCAAACTTGTAAAAAGGTATTTGGAGGAAAAAAGAAGGACATCGTCAACCGTTTTCAATAAATGACTTCCAAAAAATTAAATTTAAATCCCACGTCAATTTTTTCCTGACTTTTTTTTTGTCACGGGACTGCCAGGGTGCGCCGAACCCTTTCTCACGCCGCAACCTCCCTGCCGCCGCCGCCGCCACCCCAGCCAGGCAGCCAGCTTGCTGCCGCCTAGGCAAGCAGAGACGGCACCAAGCAAGCAACAGCTTCACCTTGCGCCATCAAACAGTGCCATGCAAACAGGAGCATGCAAGCAGGCGTAGCCGGCCAAGAGCATTACTTGAATATACACATATACACAGGAGCAAATGGTACTTGAATATAGTTTCGTATCGCGCCGGAGCTTCCCGCTGCCCTCCTTCGACCGCCAGCGGCTGCGGCTGAGGACCGTATCTATTCTCGGCACCCTCGGCCTCGCCGGCAAGCGCCCGCCACTCGGGCTCGTGCAGGCACGCGACGTTGTCGGTGGAGTAGATGAAGAGCTACAACCACCACGCCGCCGAAAACGAGACACCCAGGCAGCAGCTGCGGGAGGACGCGGATGCATGTGACATGCCACCGGCGACATTCCGGAGCTTTCCGGCCTTGTCCGTGCCCGCATCATCGCGTTCCAAGAGAAGATCAAATGGACGCGAATCAAGGGCCGCGACGCCAAGTTGTCGCCCCTGTGGCCGCCGGGAGGCGAGCGGAAGGCAGTGGTGTACCTCACGAGCCTCCGCGACGTGCGCAAGAGTGCAAGACGTTCGTGTACTTCACGAGGCTCCGTGGCGGCGGCGGCGGGAAGGAGAGACTCGCGGCAAAAGAAATCGCTGGAAGAAGGACGCCGCGCAGGAAGCCATATCCGCGCGAGGTCGCGTCCGCGTAAAGTTACGCGGAACAGGGGAAGATTTTCCAAGTGCGTAAATTATAGAAAGAAGTATTAGAAGTTGTTGAAGAGATTTTTTTTCTAATCTTTCTAAAAACCAAAGATTAAGAGGGGTTTAGGAAACTCTTGGAGATGCTCTTACAGGAGCTGCAGGGGTGCCAGGAGACTGTCACCAGGCAACTTCTAACGGCAAGGAGGTTAGCAACATACCATCAACCAACCAGCACCCAGCAGACATGGTTTCTACGCCAAAATGTTTCAGCCAAGAACAATACTGAACACACTGCTCTGCACTGCAGGCAGGAAATACTATATTGGCAATATGAAACAAGTCCATCAGGAAAAAAAAAAGGACTTGTTGGACCATACGGTGTGTAACCTTCCTACTTGTAGTTTGTTATATGTTCATCAGTTTAATTAGTCCGCATCAACCTCTTCATGCTCATGGGAGAGGCCAAGAGAGCAGAGAGCAGCTACCGTTGAGACTCGACGTCATTGCCTACTCTGTTGGCGTTGTCAGGACCCACAGAGCCATTCTCTGGATTACTTGTTGTTGAACCCCCTATCTCAGCCTTGCAAAGAGGGCACAACGCGTTTATCTGGAGCCATTTATCTATGCATTCCATGTGGAAGACATGTGCACAGGGAAGTTCACGCAGATCTTCATTGTTTGAGAACTTTGACAAGCAGATGCAGCAAATCTGCAGATCCCCAATAATCAAATTTGTTACAAATGTGTAATAGGCAGCATGATATATGAAAAGGAATATGGGAGAGAGCTCACAGCATCTTCTGCAGAAATAATTCGCTCCTTGTCAGTTCCAACCGCCAAGACTCCACCACCATCTTCTCCCACATCCCCATCATGAACCCTTTTCGATTGGAACTTGTACGCCACCAAAGTATTGATTGCCTCCGTGGTAGCGCCTCTGTTCAGATCCAAATCCTCATGGACGCCCAGAATGGATATTATACAGGGCAGGCAGAAGCATATCATTGTACATAAAATGAAAGGCAGGGCGTAGCCAATGAAGCCGAACGCAAGAAATACTATACAGATCCTGAAAATGGTAACAAACAAAAGATAAACATCTAGGTTGTGGATTATTAAGAATTGCAACCTGAGCACCACATACCTGTACAAGTTAGGGGCATCATGGGCAGAAGAACGACTACCAAATATCCACACATTTCCCACAACGAACCAGACAGCAAAGAAACAATCCAGCATCAATTTAAAGCAAGCGACCATCGCGTAAAACCTACAAAGATTAATGCATCGTTACTTCATTATGAACTGAAATATCAGAGGAAAAAACTTCAAACAGTCGCAGCATTTTGACAGGACACCTTTCAAATATCAAATCCAGAGTACAAAAAAGTCATAGGAAGAAATGAAGACTAATGTTTTATGTGGTTATTATTAGGAAAAAGGCTGCAAAATATTACTGAAGATAGGTGATCATTCAGTTATGTACACACAGATTTATCCAATGGAAGAATGTTACCTTGGACTTGCCAGTGGTAAGTTAATTCTTGAGACTCCAGTACTGTTGGCACCGTCCACAGCTTCTGATGTGCGAGGAGATAAGACTGCTGCATAAGAATTAGTCTCGGATATGTTCCGTTCTGACGAACTTTGGGGTGGTATCTCCTGCTCCATGTTTGGTCGGTTGCGGTGAAGATAGCGCCAATAAAGATGTGGAAGAATAGCAATACAACCAATTGTATAGCCAAGAAGCCACGTAAATAATGGAGCGTGTGGGTGCTCATTCCTTGATACAGACAGAACAGCAATAGCTGCTACAATCTGGCTAAGATTTACAATAAGCTCGATTGAGATCCAGAAGCCAGAATTCAAAGGATTCTGTTGACGATGGCCTCGATCTATTCTTGCAAAGGATGCATTATGAGAGTTAGATACATCATTTGTGCCAGAAGATCTTTCTGGTCCTGGTGGAACTTCATTCAAAGGACCTCTGCTGTGATGCAACTCATCCAAGCCATTGGGGTCATCCTGGTGAGATGTTGATGGGGAGGTACCATCACTCATTGGTATGTCAATTGTGTGATCACGTTGGCTCAAGTTTCCAGTGTGAGCCATCAATAAAGGATGATTGTGTGATTGGCCTTCAGGTGTGATAAAACAGGAGCAACATTCACAAACTAGACAGTCATTTGGCACATTGGTTTGATACCCTCCTTTGACATGCAGTGATCTTCTACTCTATTAAATATCCTTGTCACAAACACTTAACTAGGGTACTTTATTTTCCTTCCTAGTGCAGCACCTGAGGTAACTTTTAGTCTACCTGAAGAAAAGAAAAGTAAACCAAGTATCAATCGACTGCAAATCTGCTTGATTAAACTATGAAAGACTTTGTCTAAGCTCAGACAGCATAATTGACTAGACAGGATTAGACTAGAAGGAAAGATTACAGCCAGGTTATATGGAGTATTTCTGAAGACTAGAGCCTTTGTCTAAGGTAAACCCCACTTTCCATAATCCCAACTAGCATTCTTCTGATTTTGACATTACATCCAACTATTGCATCCTACTTCCCTGCCAAACTAGAGCTTGACTGCAAATTAGTAATGCAAGGAAAATACTCGTCTCCATTTTTCTGTTAAAGAGAAGACTGATGCAGAGGTACGGCATGTCAATATACATCCTTATTTTTCCAGCGCTATACTGATATGGAACGAAATATCATAATAATATACTACAGCCTAGTAAGGAATGGGGTACAATCTGCTACACTAAAACAACATAATACCAAGCTGCTGTCCACACCTTAGCCATAGTTTGGCAAGGAGGCGTTGCAGTGTCTGTGAGCGAACCAAACATACTCTAACAGGCTAATACAACAACGAGGCCGGCCGTGGTACTCAAACGTTGGTTCAAAAGAAGATTGTTCAGAAATGCAGCAACTAAGAGGAAAACATCGTACGCCTATAGAAAGCCGCAACTGAATCCCCTAACAGTCACCACAGCTTGTTCGTTCTCCCAAATCACCTGAAGAACTAACAATCAGCAACACGTGAGGAAGAGGAACAGCGCCTGCAGCTAAGAGACCAAATCCTAGGCGCGTTGAATCAAAGGAAAAGGAGCATCGCCCGATCGCCGCCGCACCACAGCAAAGGTGGCTAATCGCCTAATCGACAACAACAGCACATTACACAACCAACTGGGGCGAGCAAATCGGCAAGGCAAGGCCTACGCTAGACTGACCGAAGAGGAACGGAATGAAACAAGGCCCCCATTCCGCTGGTCGGACCTCGAGGCAGGACAGAGGAAATAAGGTGGGCGGCAATATACCTAGCGGGAACCGGGGCTCCGATTCGGGCCGGTGACCGGCAGCTCTCGTCGATGCGAGCGAATTTCCCCTCCGCCTTCCTGTTCCTTTCCCCTCGACTCGTTTGTCCTCTTGCCGTCCGTCGCTTCTGTTCTGTAATGTAGCCGCCCCCAGGTCAGCGGTCGGGGGTCGTCGTCCTCGGCGGGGAGGTGAGAGGACGAACACCCGGAGAGAGGAGAAGGCAAGGGGTAGCTCGGTAAATATAGGCAGCTCTCGGGGTGGCAGGATCGGACGGCCGGGGCGCGCCGTCGTTGACAGCCAGCGCATGCGATGCGGGGTTAGGCTGTCTTCACGAACCTAAACACGAAATGGGCAAAATAATACAGGTAGCCTCGAAAATCTATTTTAAGTGTTACGAGAGCATAACTCAAATCTGAGTATCATCTTACAGAAAGAGTTTTGGATCTCCTTGTTAAAAAAGACAAAAATAGATATTAAATCTTTTAGCTATAGCGTTAGCTACCAAAAGACGAATAGATCTTATATTTTAGGTCACGGTTGTTGGAGACAGTCTTAGAAGAGCTAGTCTCCCTCCCTTGGTTACTATTATCCTCCATTTGGAAATGGAAACCGTGTGCGATTCGGTGGCGGTGCTCGTTGAGGAATTGCGAGATGGCTTACTCGTATCGTTTAGCGTCTTTGCCCAAATGCTGGGCATGACGGAGAAAATGGGCAACGGGGAATCACATGTTCCGCGTTTTTCCAGTGGGGAGTACGTTGTGCAAACTTTCGAAGAAAACGTGGAGGTGCACAGCTAAAATTGACATTTTCTAATTTGCAAAGCTAGCCAGCAGCATGCCAGCTTCAGTACTTTCTTTTGGAAACAAGGTACTAGTACATTGCATTCTTCTCCACGACATGCCTGAGTAAATGTGTAAAACAGAATGACATCTGAAGTCCTTGTAAGGTTCTCTGGTCATCTTCTTCATTCGCGGACTAGAACTTCGTTCCGTTATATCTAAAAAAAAATCTTCTTCATCAGCAATCGGAGGCATGCATCACTCCAATTTTTCCATCAACTTCGTGGTTATTCTCCACGACTTGATTTGTGGATGCCCGTGGTACACAAGCATGCGTTTCTTGACTGTATGTAGTGCACGTACAAACTTGAAGAAATAGGCCATGTTGGTTCTTCATTTTCTTCTCATGTCTTTTTTAAGTTCTAACTAGACCACCAATGCATGCTCTCATATTTCTAAAAAACAATGCATGCTCTCATAGAGTGACAGAGGCGAGGTATAATAATTTATAAGTTCATGTTCAAACTCTACTATTAATAAAAATTGCTTATATTTACATGACTTTTCTCTTTGTTTATATTCTAACACAACATGCATACAGATACTTTATATTCTTTTGTAAGGCGGTGATAAAGTTGTCAGATATTCAATATGTTACCTACAATTTTTCTTCCGCTGACATACATTCATGCATCTTCAATATGATTTAATTGAGACATCTACCTGATTCTGACTTCTAAAATTTATCCTTCTTTTTTCTTAACATGTCTTGTGAGGATTACCGTGATCTCTAATTAGTAGCAATAAGAATCTAAAAATTATATTTAGTAGTAGGTTGGTTGGTGGGGGCGAGTTCTGGTGGTGGGAAGAAGAGGACAGGCGACCACTAACGAGTATCTCAAGGTTACCAAACGGGCTAAAAACATGGTCGCATGGGCTTTAACATCGCACTTTTTCCCTCTGTTGCTAAGCCATTTGTTTTTGTTTGAACTTTTTTTTTGGAAAAAGTTCATATTACTTACCTCCAAGCTTGCCTATGCTAAGATAATAATCCCATAAACCAACATTTGGTTCAATTTACTCCCTTCAACTATTTAAGTTGGTCCAATTTACACCTTACAATAAATTCTTTTTTGTTTCTCTATGTACAAATTGAATTTTAGTTTCAAAATTTGTGAGGTGATAGAGGACATCATACTTTGTGTCTTTCATCATTATGTTTTGTACGATATTGTATCTCTAGTGTTAATTTATTATTAAATTTTTTAAGCTATCAAAATAGTGGTAAAAAAATAAGATATATTTTTCTAACATAACTTATGATATCACGTCATAAAAGTCGATATTAAAACTCAACTTGTGGATAAATAAAAATAATAAATCATGTTAAGGGGTAAACAAGACCAAGTGAATTGGTTGGAGAGAGTAAATTAAACTAAATGTTACTTAAGGGGTTAATCTGAACATATGCTAAACTCGAGTGGAGTATTTTAGATTTTTTAAACCCTTTTTCTGCTTTTTGGTTGTTTCGTTCCATTAAATTGGTACCACATGTCAATGACTTGAATACTATGGCAAGAGTGTAGCAGAAGTCCCTTGGACCAAGGTGTCGCTGATAATTTTAGCACTTGACTTTAGGGCTTGTTTAGTTTGCAAAAATTTTGGTGAAATTGCACCGTAGCACTTTCGTTGTTATTTGGCAATTAATGTCCAATCATAGTCTAATTAGGCTTAAAAGATTCGTCTCGTGAATTTCATCTAAACTGTGTAATTAATTTTATTTTTTATTTATATTTAATGCTTTATGTATGCGTCCAAAGATTCGATATGACGGAAAATCTTGAAAAATTTGGTATTTTGGAAAGGAACTAAACGGTACCTTAGGCAATTGTGCAAAAAGAAAAAAAAATGGCATCATATGGCTTTAGCATCGCCCTTTCTCTCTTGGCTTTAACATGTAATGTAAAATATAAGCACACGATCACAGATTTTTCCTTCTTATATCAAATGATTTATTCTAATGTGTTACAGGGGTCCGCATGGCGGTTGCATCAGCTGGAGCCCGACGAGCGGGTGCAGTCGGCGGCGGCGAAGGTGACCGTTCGCGCGTCGAGGTCGTACCCGACGTGGAAGTTCTGCTGCGCAATGTTGCCGAGGATGGACACCGGCTGTGACTCCGACACGGGCACCAGCACCAGGCACAGCGTCCCCTCCTGCAGCAACGAGAACGTGTTCTGCGGCCGCAGCGTCACGGCAGCGCCACCGCCGAACCGCAGTGTCACGTCCGGGATGCCAAAGTCCTCCGTCTGGGACTTCCCCTGGACGTCGTAGCACAGCTGCAGCAGCTGCTCCGGCGGCTGAACCCGCTGCAGCTTGATCCGCCGCTCCAGCTCTGTCACCAGCGGCTCCAGCAGCCCAGGGTCGAGGAACGTCAGCGTCGTGCCGGAGTCGACGATGATGCGGGAGTCGTGGGTCGCGACTTCCTGCCCGCCTACCGCGACCGACTCCAGGGCGACGGTGTAGTACGAGTCCACATCCGACGGCACCAGCGGCGTCGACGCCGCGCCGGGCTCCGACACGACGGCCCTGGAGCCGAAGTTGAGGGTGGACGACGAGTTGGCGTCGTAGGACGGGATGAGGCAGTAGGAGAACCTGCGGGCGATGTGCGTCGCGGCCCCTAGCTGCGACACGAGGGAGACGGGCCCGGCGCCGAGCCCGACCAGCCCGTCGGAGCGGAACGTGCCGGCGCTGTCCGTGGAGCAGCCGAAGTTGACACGGGGCACGCGGACCTGGCCCTTGCCGCCGCCGTCGACGAAGCTGAAGGTCTCGGTGGACAGGACTCCGATCGTGCGGGAGCCGTCGCCGTACGGGTACTGGTACTGGCACTCGGAGTCCGCGTCGCAGGACGCCTGGCTGAGCGCCTGGCACGCGTTGGACTGGCAGCTCACCTGGCTGTACGTAGACGAGCGGGAAGGTTGGAACACTACGTTGCCGCCGGCGTCCGCGTCCGCCGGGCCGTCGCCGCCACCGCCGCTGCCGCTGCCGTTGCTGCTGCAGTTCACCCACACGAGGTCGCTGCCGGTGTCGGCGATGGCGAGCAACTGCGTCGGCGGCGTACCGACGTTCACGTACATCAGGTACTCGAACGACCTGGTGATGATCTTGGACTCGACGCCGCCGTCGGCCGCGGACACGGGCACGGCCGCGGGCGATGCGCCGCTGTAAGAGCGCCCGAGCACCTCGCCCTGGAGCGAGCGGCGCGCGGCCGCGAGCGCCCGGGCGTGCGGGGACAGCGCGGGGTGGCGGAACGGCGACCTGGCGGAGTCGCGGTGGATGAAGTCCACGCTGAACCCGCCTTCACCGGCAGCAACAGAGGCCGTGCAGGTGCAGCGTCGTTGCCCGGCGAGGAGGAGGGCGAACAGAAGAAGCATCGTCGTCGCTTCCATGGCGTCCTGCTAGCTCACTACTAAACTGGAACGCGGTAACCCCGCAGTGATTTGGGCAGGGCTAATGGCACTTACCGATACTAATAGGCGAATTACCGTAACGTAGATGGTAACTAGTACATGGGAAGGGCAGAGGATGAGTTGGGAACTTGATGATGTTCGTCTTCATCGGCTGTAGCTATATATCTGCAACCTTGATTACTTGCTACTATTATTATCTCTTCTCTGTCTATCTACAACTAAAAAATTCCTATGATCAACATCCACCGGCAGCACGATAGGTCGTACGACCCCGCGTCTACCCAGCACAGAATCACCGTAGGAAACAAAAAAACCACGCCGACATGTGGGCCCTTCTACGCTCCGCCCAGCGTCGTCTCGCCTTCCACACGCAAGCGCTCCATCCGGCCCCAAATCAGCGCACTCCCCTCGCAGCCCCATCACGATTCACGAGCAGCCCTCTCGCTCCACCCTCGCGCGCCGCCCGCGCCATCGCAGGCCGGCCCACGTCGCCGGGCATCTCCCTCACGCGGAACTCGGGAGCCGCCACCGTTGCTGAGGGTGTCACCGTGCCTGGCTAGGAGAATGGGGCGGACCCGCCGTCGATCCACGAGGCCTTCGTCCTCGCGGGCTTGCGATATGTCGATCCGCTAGCGTTTCATCATATCTGCGACAACGGCAGTTCACTGCTTCCCGCCTCCAATCACGCTCGTCCCCATCGCGACGCCGCCGCACACGCCGGCCGGAAGCGCCTTGCCCTCGCCCTCGCGCGCGCTCCCTCCCTTGGCTAGCGACGGGCAGGAGGTGGACCAAGCTCAAGCGTGGGTTCAGGAGACCCCGGTCGAGAAGGCGGACTCGGAAGGGGAGCAGTCGCGCCGGAAGCGCGGCGGGGGTTGGCAAGCGGCCCGACGACCAGGCCGCGCACACCGAGTCGCAGGGCGCCGCCGTCGCTGGCCGGTCACGGAGGAGCCACACCGTTCGTGATGGACGCGAGGCGGGACGTCGCTACTGCTGGTCAGTCGTGGAGGAATCGCGGCGTTCGTGCCGGCCACGAGGGAGGACGTGACCAGTACCGCTGGCGCTGTGCAGCTCCCTCACAACCCGGTTGATGCCCGTCAGCTGCTCGTGGAATTACCTGCAAGGTTTGTGCTCAGATTTGGAGAAGTGGCCTAGGTGGTGAGTAGGAGATGAGGTGGGCGATGCTGCCCTGCCTGTCTTCTGTGTTGGTTGTGTCGGCGCTGCGCGGAGTATTTTTGGAGGAAAAGGAGATGGCGCACGACATGATACAATCTCTAATCTTCGTGCTCTGTCCAAAAAAGAATGTTTGTGAGCAGGTGAGTCACTGCTCACTAGCATGGGTGTGCTGTCTTTGATTCTTCACTACGTTAGTATATCGTCAGATCGATTTTTATCAGTTTTTATATCTTGCCAATTTGGAAAAATTAAACTCTTTTTTTTTATAGAATAGCATTGAACTCCTTGTGGTTCTGACCTTATGAAACTGGGAATGGCTCTGGCTGCTTGCACAGCAAGAGTGACGTCGATGAGCTCCCACTGACTGCAGTAAAGCCATTCACTCTTTAATATCTGCAACATGGGATACACTAGATGTTACAGACCTTCAGTCTTGAGGTTGAAAGCCATTCATCATCAGTAATAGCTTAAGCTGAAGTCTGAACACCTCGCTTCAAACAAAAACTGACTGCAGTAAAGAAGATAGTTGTGCTTGTGCATGCACAGAACAACTCTAACAACTAACCTGTGTGCTTTGACGGAACTAATGTAGATGCTAACATGCTGCAATGTTTTTTCTGTCTCAGTCAAACTCATCCTGAGCAACTACTTGCCTACCTTATCTTGGAGCAACTGCCTGTCTTATACTCTTGTTTATAATATATAAGTATACTATTATATCTTTAGCAGTTGAGTAGCCATTAGTCAATGCTTTGTCTTTATCTGAAGGGATTGCAAAACGACTATTTTCATGTTCGCTTGGCTGATAAGTCATGGCTGAAAATACTGTTGACTGATTTGTCGTGAGAGAAAAATACTGTTCGTTGGCTGAAAAAATACGGCTTCTAAGCCAAGCGAACAGGGTGTATGCATACATGATGCTATCTCTTCTCTTCTCTATTTCTATAACTAAAACATTCGTAACTATTCCATCCACAGGTGCGACACCAAAGCCGCTCGCTCCCATGCATCCTCGGATGCGACACCAAAGCCGCTCGCTCCCATGCATCCACCCGTGCGGCAACAATCGTAGACATAAAGTGATGCGACAATTGAAGTTGATGTTTTAGTTTTGCATTCAAATTTAGAGTTATATTTTAACTATTTATCTTTCGTGAAGACTTATGTAATATTGATTGGAACATTATGATTGCTGTATCTATTTTAGATAACAGTATAACACACGCTCATACATATGTTATCGTGGTATTATGTGTTCCCGTTGTAACGCACGGGTATTTATGTAGTTAATCCAAAATGGCATAAGTTGATAGTGCCGGCATCGTGGCCAGATTCGGTCGATTTTTAGAGACGAGACGATGTGTGCGTTGTCGTTCATTGCGGTGGAAACTGAAGATTTTAGAGGCAGTAATTGATAAGAAAGATCGCATATCAACCAGATCGGTGTGAGTGGAAATAATTCATGGTTTCCTATTTTTCATCTTCCTCTTGTAGCCCCTTCATTTCCATGAGCCATCCAACCAGAGGAGTGTGGCCGCGGGCCTAGGCCGCCCAACAAACTGATCATCCCCACAAGTTTTCATTCCCGTGCGTCTCTTGTTGACATGGAGGCCCACGTAGCGTCTGTTGGCGTCGGGCTGTTTGTGGTGCCCAGCGGAAACGGCCCAATTGGTATATGGGAGCGGCAAGGTGACTGGTTGTGGGCCTGTCACCTTGTGTACAGCTACAGCCTTCGGCCCTAACTGAAGCGGCTGGCATTCGCATCCTTTTGCAATCGCAAGAATTCCTGTTCGACGATGACACGATGTGCACGGTGTGCGGCCGCTACTACTGTGGCTGGACAGTGATAGGCTGCTGTGCTGTGTTGGGGAGGATGTCAGCAGCAGTGGCAACAATGCGCCTCCTTCGACAAGGCCCAAGAGGCACGCGCGGCCCAACTCCAAGGTGTTTGGGCTCACGTGGCAAGCGTAGCTGAGTATATCTTCCTGAGTGCAGAGAACGAGAGGGACACAAAACCTGTAAACTGCATATTCGCTTCTTGCAATACAAAGCACATATCGTACTGTACTTCTTATTCCTTCCTTCCCAAGCATTTCGATTCCTAACTGTAGCTAACAATTGGTATCAGACTTCGGTGCCGATCTAGAATCCGCGCCGCCGTAGCCGCACGAGCACTTCACCAGGCTCCGCCGTGCCAGGGTGCCATGGATCCCACCCTGAAGCTAGTACTCGACGAGCTCAATCATTGATTCGATGAGCAGGATGCGAAGTGGGAGTGACGCTTCTCCGATCTGGACCGCGACCGCGCGCGCTCGCGATTCAGCGGTCGACGGACGCCTCGCCGCCCTAGAGTCTGCCTGCTCCGACCTGGACACGCTTCGGCTCGCCCACACCAACGACGAGCGCGACGGCCGGGTCATGGCGCTGGAGGTGGCGCCACGGATCTCGGTACCTGGTGGCTAGAGGTGGAGGCGCTGGTGGACGACCTCAAGCTCGAGGTGAAGCGGATCTTCGCCAACTGGGACCAAGCGTGGGGATTCGTCGTCGCATCAGCTCGGTCCTCCTTGTCCCCTTCGTCGGTGGCGCGTGCGCCTGCTGCCGGACTTCCCACCGATGGGCCGAATAGGCACCGCTCTGCATCGATTACACGGGGTACTGGTTCCAGGGTTGTCACGACCTCGAGTCATATCCCGGGCAACGGTACGACGTCTTATCCTCACCCTCCTCCGATTTCATCTTCATCAGTGTCTGTCGGATCGTCCTCCGTCCGTCATCGTTCCCCCTCGACCTCCGATTTGGCTAGTGCAACCTACCTTCTACCCACCATATCCATCGCTTCCCAACCAAGCCCTATTCAACCAAATTTTCCTTCACCCCTTCGTGCTCCCCCCAATTTTTCCCTTCCATCTTCTGTTCCACCAATTTACCCACCAATTTCTTCATCCGTTACGCCCATTTATCCACTAATTTCTTCAGCACCACAAGTTTTTCCACCACCTCCTACAATTCCACCCAATTTCGCCCACCACAAGCCTCCTAAACTGTATCATCACTCCTCTACGTCAGGTCGCCTTCCCAAGCTTCCCTTCCCCAAATTTGATGGTGATAATCCGCGCTTGTGGCACCGCCGTTGTGAAAAGTATTTCGCTATGTATGGTGTGGAGGAGTCTCTGTGGATTAGCATGTCCGAACATTATCTGGAAGGCCCCATGGCACGCTGGTTCTAGTCCATCAAATCCCAAATTCGTAATGCCACTTGATCCACTTTTTGTCAGTTGTTGCATGATCGTTTCGATCCTGACCAACAAGAGTTGTTGATCCGTAAGCTGTTCTCCATCAAACAGCTTACCTCTGTTTCTAACTATGTCACCCGCTTTACTGAACCTATCGATCAGCTCTCTGCCTATTCCAATTCCACTAACCCTATCTATTATACCATGCGTTTTATTGATGGGTTGTTCTTAGAAATTAAGGCAGTTGTATTGGTTCGGCGTCCACAAAACCTCGATGCTGCTTGTGTGTTGGCATTGTTGCAGGAGGAGGCAGGGGTTGCGGACCGGTCAAGTAGCCTTGTTCTGGTGATTGGTATGCTTCATCTAAGTTCCAGCATCCTCCTAGGACGCCATTGCCGCTGCCGTTGCCACCCCGTACTGACAAGGGCCCAGCACCGGCTCCTGGTCCTGCGGTAACAGCACCTGCAGTTAAGCCTTCTTCTGATCCCAAGCTTCAGGCTGTCAAGGCGTATCGGAAGGCATTGGGTCTGTGTTACAGGTGTGGTGTGAAGTGGAGTAAAGACCACACATGCC